AAGAGTCCAAAATCATGCTCTGAGACAGATAGTCGGAGCACGATGGTATGAACGTAACTCTGATATCCATAGAGACCTGGGGATGGAGACCGTCTCGCAATTTATAACTAAAGTTGCAACCAACTATGAGAGACGGCTCCATCACCATCCTAACACCGAGGCTTTACTATTACTTGACAACTCAAATGAGTTTAGACGCCTCAAACGGGTGAAATCGTGGGAACTGGCCAGCCCCTTGGTTTGAACCATTAATTTTAGTAACCAATTATTTCTAACCATTTAGATAAGTTACAGACTACCCGGTCGTTTGTACTCACACATTTATTTTGAATTTAGAAACAAAGTGTATAATTTCATTGTGAAAGTTCGCTTAACACTAATAAAAAAAAAAAAAAAAAAAAAAAAAAAAAAAAAAAAAAAATTCAAGGTGATAGATTGTCAGAGGAATGACTTATTGAGTAATGATAGTCAAACATTGTCATCACTGAATAATTTGGAAAACATAGGGCATCTCATTTCAACAAGAATATTTCACAATTCCTGTCAGTAAAGATAAATGCAAAGACTTGTACTCACGTTGAATGAATGCTTATCATGGCTACTATGCTTTTTGCAGGGTAACAAAGTGCGCCTACGGAAGAGGAAGAAGTTAAAAGAAGATGGTAAATCGGAAGAAGCAGATCATGAAGCCTGTTTTCCGGGAATTAACTTTGGACCGAAAGGCACATTGGGTGCCCTAACGAGTGATTCAGATTCCTCTGATGTCGAGTATCGCGATTTCAGAGTCGGTCTGAAGTTGAAGAAGTTGCAGTTACGTGTCAGGATGACAGCCCTTCTTCTGTTACTTAAAATTACTGAGGTAGGGATATTATTATGGCAACTTTTTTCCTTAAAAAAAATGTCTAGCTCTTGCAACTATCAAATTTTAGTCAGGCGGATTTCATTAAGTTCGTTCAAAATTTTAGTTACTATGAGTAATGATGTCTCAAATATTCTGAAGGCTGAAAACGAAAACTATCTGCTGAAAAAATCCACAATATGTAAGCGTATAAAATGCATGAAAGATTGCCATTTTATTCTTCATTTTAGATACTAGAACTTTTTCAAAACACTGAGAGCCTGCTTTAGCAGTTGGGAAAATTACTTTTAGTCAATTTTCATGTATTGACGTAAATTTTACAGCGTTTTGAGTCAAAAACTTAGAAGAAAATAAGTTATGTTGTTAGATAATTTTACATTTATAAGAGACAATTCAGCATCTCAGGCTACTAATGTCTTTACAGAAACTATGAATTATCAGTTAGGTAGGTATCAATATATGCATCGCTTTCCGCTATGCATCAAGTACCAAGCATCACATTCTAAATAATTTCCTTTTATGAATTTTTTTACCCAAATTATTCTTCAGACCTCTAATTTCAGTCGACTGCAATGGCTTTTTGTAGTCAGTTTTGTAGAATTCTTTTCACTCTTAAATATAACCTTCGAGTATTCGAAAGCCAACATGGGTTTCTTCTCTATGTTGAAACTTTTACTACATATCCCCTTAAAGATGGCTTTTTCAAAAAATACTTTTGATTTATTCAAGCACTTTTTCTTTCTCTTCTCTCTTTTTCAGATGGTAGATTTCAAAGAGATTTTTGGTTACTGGACTGCCCTTTTCAGGGGAAACCTGTCCCTCTTGAATGTTTTGATAAAAGACTCTTCAGTGAGAATGACACCAGTCATTACAACTGTCATCTACACTTTACTCTCCAACTCAAAATTATTCCTGGCGCAAGCTCAACAGAGGTAATCAGTCACATTTTCCCCCACATGTTTAAAGTTTTCGTCTATCAGTTTTAGAAATTCAAGGTTGCTGTGTGCTATTGCTCAGTCTTGAAGTACGGTGGTAAAACCCTAACTTAAACTCATGACCCCTCCAAAGGGAAAAAAAGGCGACATTTCACAGGTCTTTCGGTAAAAATAGTAAGAAATATAATATGTATTCAAAAGCCTTTTCATCCTCTTGATAATGATGTCTATCTGCGTTCTCAAGATTTATTTGTCATTTTTTTAACATTGTCGCTAATTATTACCAAATATTGAATCACCTTGCATTCCCTCCGAAAAAATTCTCAAACTTCTTGAACAAATTCCATAGTCAGGTTGGCCAAAGTTAGGGACAACCGTTACAAGTGGAGGGAAAACTAATAAACCTAAAAATCCAGGGAAAGTGGCATTTACAGGAATGAAATTTTTTAAATGTTGTACCTACCTTCTATATTGCTTGACCCCATGTTGGAGGAAGATTCAGCAAATTACATCCTCCAAGAAGTAAAAAAATAATCCAAAAATTGGAGGAAAAAGTAAAAGAGGTAAAAAGTCAGAAAATTCCATTTATAGGTTGCTGTGGCCACCCTGAGTTTTTTGAGTTGTCTGATCAACACCGCAATGCTACAGAAAAATGCCGTATGAACATTCGAGAGTTGCCAACTTTCCTACAATGTGATATTTAGTTTTGAGGAAAGTGAATATTTTTCTTTGAAATTTTCAGTAAAATTGTGAAGAAAATTATCTGAAAAATTGAAAGAAAAATATGCATACATTTACCAGGAAATTAATGTTTTATCAAAGAAAATTTGGCAACGTCTGTAAGTTTATACAGCATTTTTTCTCGGCACGGCAGAACAAACCTCAGCTCACTTAACTTCACTTCAAATGGAATGTACAAGTTTCAGTTGGAAAGTGGCTTATTATTTCATACTTGTAGATGTTGAAGTAGTCTCTCAGTGATTGTCTTAGAAGAATCGATGGGAAAGAATTTATAGAGCATCAACTTTTCTTTCAGCGAGCGGAATGAGACGGCAGCTTTCACGCCATTTTCAGCCACTCTTGCGGAGCTCCTTTGCTATATTCATAATCAGTTCAATGTTGCAATTAAGCAGTTTTTGTCAGTCCATCGATTCCCTGCCTTGCTTCATTGTGTGTCCTCTTTGATCATGAATACCCCCTACCACCGTCTCAAACCAGGTCTTATTACTGAACTTCTCAGAAATATTTACTCTGCTCTCCATCATAAAGGTATTTTCTTTTTGTTTTTTCTTTTATAGTGAAATGTTTATCATAAGCTTTTATGCGACAATATACCCTAAAAAAAATAAAGAACAATGCATGTGTATGAAGTATCTTTGTCTATAATAATGGAGGATTTGCACACAAAAATTTTATTGCTTCATCTGAGAGTGCTTAGTGAGCTGACTTCGCAGTATTTTTCATAATTGTTTTCTGACATGGGAAATTGGAGAAAAATAGTTATAAAAGTGAGGAAATGTGCCGCCTCATGACGTCATCTGGTGGCATTTTCCATTTGAACACATGTATTTTAGCAGACTAGATTATTTTGTCATATTTCCTCCGATAATTGTCCAATTTAGAAACCAATGATATCCTAGTACTCAGTTTTACTAGCAGTATCATTTTAAAGTTTAAATTTACAAAATTTCAGACACCTGCAAATTCTTTATTGCGGGTTTTTTTTTTTTTTTTTTTTTTTTTTTTTTTTTTTTTACCAATAATTCTTTGTAAGGCTAAGAAAAATTGTTGACTAATTCTTCTCAAAAAAATCAAGAGAAATCTGAGATGTCACAGTCAGAAGTACCTAAGTATATCTTTTGGAGCCTCCATCAGTAAAATGCAATTTCGCTTCAAATAATGGCTCCCAAGTCTAAAGTGTGAATTATATTAAGAAATTTCTTGGAATTCGTCTTAAAAGATTTTGTGTGGAATCATAAAGCCATGATTTTTCATGAAGTTTGGCTCGCAGTACAGCCTAGGTATCATATCGACGGTGAAACTCGCAAAGCACGTATCTCAATTTGGGACGTCGCAGACTTCTCGGTTATACTTTATTTTTTAAGTGGAGAATCACTCAACGTCAATTTTTAAAATCCTCCCTGATTTTTCTTCTCTTTGTAAAACATATTCTGTAAAAACTATAAGGAATTATGTCGATTTGTTCTCCTTTAAAAAATGAAATAGAAGAGAAGATTTTTGAACATTGCTAACGAGATACATGGTTTGAGAGTTTCACTGTAGAAATTCTTCTTTTAATTTTTACATAACTAACGCACCCAATAGTACTGTAAAGTATTTTGTCAACAGAGACAGATGTGGCTGTGGCAGCTATTACATGCATCAGCACTATTGCAGCGATAGACCCCAAAACTGAAGAACAAGAGCAGCTTTTCTTGTGCGGGAAGCCCCCTAACTTTCAAGACATGATCCCCACAGTTGACGAACCGTGGATCATTTCACTGGCAATTCAATCTTTAGAGGTGAGAGTACTTTGTATTAAATGCAATTTTATTTTTTCTTGAAATACATATATAGAAGGTTGTGCAAAGTTTACATGATTTTTAGTCTGAAAATAAAATGAATCAAGGCATGGAAAGAGCCTGTGAAAAAAAAATCATTTGTTTTCTTTATTTTCTATCTGTACAACAGAAACTCATGAACCAAAACCTTATCTCATTTGCAATGTTAAAAACTTCTTGCCATTTTTTATCTCATTGCAAGAAAACCAGGCAAGTTTTAATTTATAATATTTTGCACAATATTCCTTCTACAAGTGAAGCAAATTGATCACTAAAAGTAGTCGGATTCATTTTTGTATCCAATTCAAGGGTGGTGCATATTTTCATTATCATATCCGTTTCCACCTTTGTTCTCACATATTAATGGGTCTCTATAATTGAAGACTAAAAAGAATCAGAAGTAAAAGGGGCAGTACATAGATAAGGGAGTCTACGTAACCAAGGTAGAGAGCTTTATTTGGCTGATGGATGAATCAGCCCGGGTTCTTGCCGCAACATAGCTGGAACCTTATTCTTACTGCAAAAATATGGCTCAATTTCTTGCGTCACTGGTTGGGCCCCTGCGGAGTAGTGGTTTTAGCGCTAAGTTCTTGATCAGGAGCTCTCAGATTCGATTCCTGGGTCAGAGATCGGAGTTCGATGGCGTCAAATAACGCTTGCCTGGGGCTGATTGTTAATTAGGAACTGAGGGATGAAAGGGGCTTTATTTGTAAGCATGGGATTACTCCTTTGGGGACACTTAAAGAAAAAAGAAAGTAAACAAAATAATAAATAAATAAATATAATCATGCTAATATGACAATAAATGTAATAGATTCTCTTGTTGATTTGCACTTACAGGCTAAGAAAGAAGTAACTCCAATCCAAGTGGAGTATTTGCAACTGATCAAAGTATTGGCCAAGAATAATCACAAAATATTTTCTGAAAAAGTAATCGAAAGTCTGCTTGCTGTCTTGGTGAGAAACCTCCAAGAAGAGGATAACGCTGTGGTACAATTACACTCCGTCAATGTAGTAGAACAGATCTCTGCATATCTGCAGTTAGCTGGTATGTATAAAAAGGGTATTGTAGAAATCGAAACATTTGATGGTGAATTAAAAATCTCTCTCAAGAAAGTCTAGTCATTCTTACATAGAAATGCCTCTCTAGTCAATTTTTTTTTTTTTTTTTGTTATTCTGCTTTTTTACATGCGTAGCGCTTGGCCACCAGAAATTTAAATCAAATACATTTCGTAAAATTGCTCATTTTTTCTTGACATAATTCATCAGTTTAACTGAAGTTAAAACTGCCTGAGTTATGAACAAAGACATGTGAATAATCAATATCAAAGCATCTAAAATTGTTAAGCTTTCCTGGCAATTTGTCTGTTCCATTTGCATAAAAAAAGTGTAAATAACAAAAATTCAAATAAGAATTCTAAAGTACCGAAAAAAATGGTGCCCTAGATTTAGGCTACACAGTACGAAAAGAATGTAAATTAATTTATTAGGTGAGCAACTTTCCCAGAGGATCTTAAAATCCAAAATTTTGAAAATAAAAAGAATGTCGTTTCCAATATATCAAGAAATAATGTGGCCTCGCAAATTTCTTTCAGGTCTTAAAGATTTGAGCCTGAACCTGTGGAGTTCTTTGCTAGGAGGACCACTCATCCCTCTTTTCCAACAAGTAAAAGGACAGCTTCCAGCAGCGGCGTGTGATTGCCTCACAGCGTTGGGCTCATCAACTTTTAGTGAGCTGGATTCGCGGTTACAATCACTCTGTGTTTCACTCGTTTTCGGGTGCGCCGGACATGAAGAGCCCACGGTTCGTGCGGCAGCTATTCAAGTCATTGGAACATTCCTCAGCTACCCTTCTCTAGTCAGTGATGTCCAGTTTGTGTCGGATGCATCCAAATCTGTTGTCGATTTAATGACCGATAAAAGTTTATTTGTGCGTATGAAAGCTTCATGGGCATTAGCAAACTTGTCGGATATTTTTCTTGTTGAGTAAGTTTTCATTTATTTTTACGCCGAATGCTTCTGCTTTAACCGACCTGAATTTACCACCAGGCAAGGTACACTTTAAAGCATCCTGATATATATTTCGAAATGTAGTGTAGAAAATGATTTGCACAACGAAAATTACTGAACTCAACTTCTAGCCAAGGTATTAACGTTTTCATTCAGCACTTGTTACGAAAAATTTGAATTCTCACTCACAAGAAAAACCAGAATTAATGGTAATCAAATTGCGTATAACAATGATTTTGGCAGGTTACTCAATGTGGCTACTGCCACTCATAATTATGCAGTATTCCTCCCTAAAACAGAGGAAGTAAAAGTAGTCAAAGTTATTATTTGTTTTTGTTTTTCTGTTCTTGGTTCAAAGGAGTTCAATGAAAAGCTGCTTGGTGATATCTCCTTTGCTGAAAACATGCATGAATGCTGCTCAAGATCACGACAAAGTAAGTTCTTTTATTTTTGGATAAAACGATTCACAAAACACTATCACAACTTGAAGTCCGTCCTTGATACTGTCAAAGTTATATTTCTGTCAAATGTACTCTCACATTTCCTTATATGTTCTCTTACTTTCAATATGCATGTTTTTTCTATGGAACTATTTACACAGAAATATTTTTAACTCGAATTTTAGAGTCTCTCGAATCAGGGATACAAGCTCTTAAAAGTTAGGGAATTTTACTGTAGAGCCTCAAATCTTTTTCCTCCAGCCACATCTTAGCATTTTTTCAGTTTTCAAGTGACTACGCCTATAATTCCTCATAAAGAAACTTTAAAGTTCCTTCATGACGAATGAAAAAGTTTCTTTATGAACTAAAAGTTTCTTTATGAATTCTACTTAATTAGAATTAGAATTCATGCCCAAAAAAATGGAAAAGATAGGGAATTTTATGCTCCGGAACGTTGAAAAGTCATCTTGTTCAAGTTACCAAATTTTCTCTTTTTCCCAGTACGTATGTTCTTTTGGTGCTACAAGAGAAAAGGTGTAAAAACGCATTGACATGAACACGACACACGTTTATACTTTTTTACAATATTTCTTCATTGCATCTAATTTAGGTGCCCTGAATATGGTGTTGGGTCTCCATAATTTCCTTGATTATGTTTTCAATATTTTTTTTATAGGTAAAGTGGCATGGTGTGCGAGCTTTAGGAAACATTCTCAGGGTAATCTCAGACTCAGAGTTGGAGACACTGCAGAAAGAAGATATAATTACCGCAACCTCAATTCTCATTACAAATGCCTCTTCAAGTTCTTTGATGAAAGTGAGTAACTAACACATCATCTTCACAAGCTTTTTCTTTTTTTATGCTCAACACTGTGAATTTTAAGTTGTAGTAAAACAAGGTTTTTGCAAATGACACATTACTTAGATAAAGTCATTAACATTCATGACTGAAGCTAAACGAAGAGGCAGTAATTCAAAAGTTAGTCCGTGTTTAATATAATAGAAAATATTCTATCTAGTACCTCCTTACTCTTTTTTCTTGTAGGTATTATTAAGAAAAATAACTTCATCAGTTCAAAGTTCATATTTTGAAGCATAATGAATTTTGATCAATTTTTTTCAGGTTCGCTGGAATGCCTGCTATGCTATTGGAAACTTGCTAAAAAATTCGTACCTTCATTCATATTCAGCTGATTGGCAAGTATGTAACACTTCACACCTGTTCTGTTGTACCAAGAAAGAACGCTGTATGAACATTCAGACGTTGCCAAAGTTCCTTCAATAACATGAATTTCCACAAAAATTACTGAATATTTTTCTTTGAATTTGATATGGAATTTTATTTGTGATCAGATCAAATTACCTGAAAATTTCAAGAAAAAATATTCATTGCATCTATCAAAAATAAACATTTTATCGGAGAAAATCTGCCTACTCATGAATGTTTTTACAGCATTTTTCCTTAACACAGCAGTATTGCTAATTTATTTATCTATACATATTTATTTTGATCATCTCTTAAAGTTTTGCATCTTATGTGGGGCTCAAGAAATCTTGACTAAACAATTTCCGCTGTGAAAGTACATTGCAATTTCTCTTAAATTTTTTATATCATTTCTAATCCCAATACCAGTTGACTCACTTTAACTTTCAAGTTTTTCAAACCAGCACTATTTCTCCTCTTTTTTGTTGCAAATTTTAAATATTAGAATGTACGTTTTTAATGGAGGTTTTTACCATGTGACCTTTTACCTTTTTGAAAAAAGACCTGAGATTAACTGTGTCATGAATTTTTGACTGAAAAAAGGAGTGTATGAGAAAGGTTTGCGATCTCACTCGATCTTTTTCAACTCTTGCTGTTGGGTGCAATAGGGCCTTTGTCACATTGTCAGATGTTTAAACTTAAGTATTCAAAATCATTCAATTAAAAGCAGTTGGTTAGAATGTTATTCTCGTATGCCCTCTGGAATTATTGCACAGTTTATCAACAGTGAAACCCCCAAACAACGTCTCTTGTTTCGTGACGTCTGTTCCTTCTTGTCGTGCTTTATTTTTTAAATGGTAAACTACTCAACGCCAATTCTATTAAACTTCTGTAGTTTTTGTTCTCTATGCGAAGAGTATCTTGTGAAAACTGCTAAAAATAATGATAATTTATTCTTTTTCAAAAAAAATAAAATAGGAGCGAAGATTTTAAAGCACCGCATAGGAGATACAAGATTTGGGAGTTTCCTCGTTGTTATATCTCTCATTTTTACCTTTAAGCATATTTAGTAAACTTTTCAGCAGAATTATTTGTTTCCCTCTATTAATTTTACGCATTCTCATTTAATTTTGCAGAGCAACGTATTCAAAGTGCTGTCAAACTTGGCTCTTGAATGCTCCAACTTCAAAGTTCGATTGACAGCATGTGCAGCCTTGGTGTCTGTTCCATCAAGAGAACTTTACAAAGAACATTACTTACCTCTTTGGCCTACCTTCATTCAAGCTTTGGAGAACTCTCAAAGCATAACAGATTTTACAGAGTACAAACACCAGCACAACCTCATCGACCAGGTAAATGCCAGGAATTTTCGTTCAATCCGTATTTTTGTTTTCTGTGATGATGAATGTGTTTGTAAATGTCCTCAGAAACAGATATCTCCCGAGGTTAAAATTTTTGAAGAGAACGACACTGATTACGTTGAAAAATCAGTATTTGAGTTTTTTGCAATACATACTTAATTTCATCCTTGCCAAAAAAAAGAATAAATGGTGGATAGTTCAACTCATTTTTGGGCCAAAAGAAGCATAGTTTTGCATTAAAAGCTGACTATTTTGTCCTGGAAATTTAAACTTTCGACCCTTTTTTTTTAAAATTACGTTCTTTAGCCTTATACTTCATAGAAGCTGTGAGGAGACGCCCAATTTTCCCAGACAATTCGTCATTTCAGGGGGAAATTGGCAACGTCAGGAGGAGCACCGACTTTAGGAAAAATGCTGATGTCCGCTGGGAAATGCGCATGCGCGCCGCCGGCCGACCCGAGCGTAGGGAGCTGGGCCACTTGCTCCGACGCTCGAGGAAAGCCAGTCTTCGCAACGTGGTCGTCTTGTGCAAGTGCTCAGGGCTCCGGTCTGCACTCGTACGTCATCGACGAACCGCAAAAATCAGACGAACGACTCCGACTCGCTTTTCAGCACCGGATATTCCTTTCCGAGTCTCTTCCCTTTTAGCTGTCCCATTTCAGTCTTGTCGGGCTCTTGTCCATCGGAATAGGATTGTTCAACTCCAAACAAAGGAATACATTTGAAAAGATCGTCAAGGATAGATTTTGTCTTCTTCATTGACTTCTTCATTTTTGGGAGGGTCACCGACTGCCCCCCCCCCAAAAGCCCCCACTGTTGTGTTGCGTCGTGGTCTGCACGAGATCTCTCTCTATAGAGAGACCACGGGCGACCACTGTCCGACACAACAGCCCCCCCCCCTGGAGTCCTGTGACGTCAGCTCGAGATATCTCTCTTTAGAGACGTCCCGTCGGCTGACGTCGCGACGCTCCAGAAAACGACCCCCTTTCGACCCTAATCAGGGTCATCACAAAGCGTAATTAGGATTTGACCTTCCTGGGCGTTTTTTACACTAAAATATTTGTCAATGTATCTCAATGAAGTGTTATGTACTAATATTGCAATTTTAAGCCCTCTAGCTTAGAGAGTTTTTCTTTTTTTCATGAATATTTATATAGCTTTTATGAAAATCTTTTCCTATCTTTTGTATGTGATTTTTCTCTCTCTTTTGCTACCTTCCCCCTCCCTCCCCCCTTCTTTTATCATTAAGATAGCCTTTACTGCTGTTGTTCTCCTGCCCTGATGTTTTTCTTTCCTTTTTCAGATTTGTCTATCCATTAGTTACCTAGCGAAGTTGTGCAGGCCTGAAGACCTCGACCACATAGAGGAGATTTTGATTGTAAATGTTGAAATGCTGAAGGATAATTTCGTCAAGTTTCACAATCGAGTCGTACCCGAAAAATCAAGTGAGCTATCGGAAGCTACAAGTTACCTTTTATCTCTTCTGGACTCTGGTGACGTTTCAAAAAGGCGCTCTGAAACTATTTGCATCCTGATTTCACTATTCACAAATGATGTAATTTGAAAAATCAGAGTAATAATCTCGCTCTAAAGAGTGTCACTGTGAAAGAGACTGAAGGCAGGGTTGCCACAGTCAAGAAACACCGGACAATATTAGGGATATCCTGGAAATGTCAAGAGAAAATGACGAAAGTGTCAGGGAAAAATTGTGAAGCCGCCTTTGTTTGTTTTAAAGAATAAGTTTGACTTTTTGAACAACAGATTTTGTATAAGAACCATTTCAAATTATGCAATTTTAACCTTCTGGCATTTCTTTAATTGTAAGAGAATTTTATCAAAATGTGACAAGAAAATCAGAAGAATGTCAGGGAATTTCATTCTCTAAATTCAAATTCTGTGGTAACCCTGCAAAGAATGAAGAGTATTCTCATTTCTTGCATTCCATGAAGGGATTCTAATCGGAAGCCATTCATTTTTGTCATTTACCAAACTTCGAGTTTCTAAGTTACATTTTTGAACATATATCCTGGGCCAAAAGTGGTTTTTGGAATAATTAATTTGCTGAATGCGATTTTTGTCTGAAGTTACACAAAAATTACCATGTCATTCATTGTTGATGAATGTTTATAACAAGCCCATTGTTATTTCATTAATCACAGATGGTAATGCCTTTAGAAAAGCTTCTTGTCTGACACGATATGCTACATTAACACACGGGCACACGTCTACTAAGATTTTTTTTTTCACTTTCATGTCACATTAATGATTTGTAATTTGAACTTGTGGTATAGGCTGATGTAACTACCTTTAGCTTCTCAGACAACATCCATTGCCTGAACATGCTTTTGTGTAACTTATTAAGTGGTATCATCATTCAGGACCATTTTCCAGGGATAAAACAGTTTGATATGTGAAATTTTTTACGCCTTCGGTCGTCATGTTCCTTTTATACTAATGCAATTTATTTTTTACTTACACTGCAAGTTTTTATTGGAAGCTAGGTTTAGGAAGTAAAATTTCTAATTAAGTACAATGAACTTCAAAAAATGCATGCTTAAAATATTTGAAGGCGCAATTTTTTTTTTCCTGTCAGTGTTTCAAATAAGAAAGAATTTTAAACTAGCTCTTCAAGTTTTTACCTGTGCCATTCAAGTGCTGTAAACATATGCACTTGAAAGCAGGTATGAATTAAAAATAACTTTTGAATCACATTAGGCAACTGAAATACCTACCTACCAAAGATTTCTTTTTCTGCCATGAAAACAGCTCAAGAAGATTTTTTATGGGATCTGCATCTTTATATGAACCATGATTTTTGCAGTTACTTTTTTTTTTTCCCTTGCAATAATTTTCTTCTCTATTACCTACACCGATACCCTGGTGACTGTTGAAAATGGTTACTTATACATAGGTACATGGGTAACTGTTAAAAATATGTTTATATTTTTACAACAAGCTCCAGCTTTTGATTAATAATAGTAGCCTTCTTTTAACATATTTTGAAGTATTAAAAAAAATTCATAAATGGTTTATTTTATTTTGTTATTTTAACTTTCCGATCATTGTTACTTGATGGTTCTTTCAAAAGGGCCTTCGTTGTTCATTAATTTTATACCACTAATAAAACGTTATTTTTATATTTAAATTAATTTTTCCCCTTCCTTCTTGAAGTAGTATTTCACCAACTTTTTTCAAGTATTTTCTCTCAAAATAGTCGGTCAACAAGTAAATTTGAATGTATTTAAATAAAAGAGGCCTGTCTTAAATGGACACTGAGTTTATGTGGAATGTGAATAGGCTTTTTTCGATTATATGAGGATCTTTCTGACCCGAGAGCATGTAGAGGTAGCTACAGAGCGATATCTACTGAACGTTTATCTGTTTCACTGACAAAGTGAAATGAGATGTTTTTTTTTTACATGCATCTACATGCATCCTAAGGTACTTATTGTGTGCATTCTCCTCTCAAAATATTCAGAATGATATTAGAATTAGAATTGATGGAATTTTCAGATAGAGCAATCAGCTCTGTAGGGGCTGAATAGCTTAGTTACAAATAAGAAAAATCTACACTATCTATTTACCTGAATCGAATGTTTCATCAGTTTGCATAGTAAAACATTTGCTCATCAAGTACATCATCCAATCAGTCCTGCTGGTTGCGTTCTACCGAATTGTAGGATATTTTAGTTCCTTAAAGTTAAATGTAAAGAAACAGTTGCCTTTTGATTACCTTCTCTCTTTATCTCAAAGTAACAGAAAAACAAATGAAACTTCAGAATAATTTATTCCTTGATGAATGCAGGTCAATTCTTCAACTTGCTGACTGAATAAGTTTGTTTAAATTTATTTTTTGAAATACGGTTATTCTGGTGGACATTCAGGAGCCTACTCTCTGACAATGGTGAAACTGCAGAAATGCGTATCTCAGCTTGCGGTGTTGCGGACTTCCTGTCATGCTTTATTTTTTACTTGGACAACTACGGAACGACATTCTTTTAAAATTTCAGTAATTTTTCTCATCATTATGAAGAATATTCTGTGAAAATTTCAAGCCATGATGTTGGCTTGGCCTCCCTTTGAAAAATAAAATAGTAACAGAAAATTCTAGACACCGCAACCGAAATACGCATTCTTGCAGTTTCACCGTCAATAGGTAACAGACCAGAAGTCCAAAAAATGAATTTTTAAGTGTTTATTTATCAATAATTTTATAAAAATCGGCATTAAGGCTATGGAGAAATTCTTAGAAGCTTACACAAAATACTTACTTAGCTCACATTTCCCCCAAAATGTTAACAAATTGTTGAAAAATTGGACTTAAGTTACTCCTCATCAGTGTCAAAACAGCCATCTGTCATTAGTCTATGAATTGCTTAAAAAAATACCATCTGAGTCTCAGGCTGCTTAATAATGGCTGGTAACTTATTATGCAGCTTCCCACCTATTGAACATGGGGCTTACTTACGAAAATAATATTTCCAGAAATTTGAGAAACTATTTTTGAGGCAACGAAAAAGCATCCAGGATAGCTTCAGACCAAGTTCTTGTTGCTTTGTTAACTGAGGTCCTAGTCTAAAAACTATCTCTTATCTCTGAAACCAATTACGGGCCACTGAACACACAATGGACCCACATAAATCACAATGGGCTATTAGAAAAGGTAGGTTTGAATTAATGTACTACATTATGGTAACAATTTATCCTCTTCAATATTCCATGAAGAAAACAAATCTTATTACCACAGGACGTCAGGATAGGTATCAACTCTTACACAAGATATGGGTGCTCATTTACCATTAATATTGGTTTAAGGGTAAAACAAATGACGTCATTTGTATGATCTAACTTCCACTTGATTTGAGTCAAATATTTCTTAATATCTCGTTCAGAGAATGATCTCCGAACTTTCCGTTGCACCTATGATGATTCGTTACCCATGTAAGCTTTTAAAGATAAAACACGTGGCTTTCTTCTGGTTCAGTACCTTGTCTTGTCGCCCATTTGAAAAGAGTACTTTTTGTAAATTACAAATCCTTAAATTTAGAACTGGTTGTAAGTACTTAGTTACTTCGTCTCTTATTTTTTATCAATCTGTTGGGTGCCTAAGCAAACTTTCAGCTTCTTCAAACGCGGTAATGCATTCTACCATGATTTTGAGTCCAGAATAAGAAGCTTCAAACTCGAATAATATCTGAATAAAAGCACTGGATTCCTGAGTAATTCGAAATTACATTTTCTATGCATTTGTGTAGCAAATGCTGCGACACTGCAGGAGCCCCTAATTTCCTACCTAGGTGGATTCCGTAAGAGCCAGAGCTTTCAGAAACTAGTGGGTCTAGTGTTGAAATCCTCCCGCATGGTATTCTAACCTCAAGAGTTAATTCTTACTTAATTCAAATAAAGTACTTTAATTGACAATAAATTGTTGCAGCCAGATTTGGAATGATCAAGAATGAAAAAATTAAACCAACTGGGTACATACTGGTACATACATATTTGATGGATGACCAACATCTTAGGTTAGTTTTATCCTGGAAAAAGAAACTATATTGACATTTAGACGCATTCTGTTCTTCAGTTGCTGGTTAAATTCTTAAGAAAGATACAATAACACCTTTGCTAATTTATTATATGTATTCAATCAGTAAAGAGATCTGCTTCGAACGAATGAAAACTAAAGCAGAAGGAATTTTCATGCTTTGTTTACAAACACAACCAAGGGTGCGCATGGAAGCGTGACGATTCATGAATGAACCGTTCAAAACAGAACGGACCAATGAGAGAGCGAGAATCCGGGTCATCGTACTCATCGTAGTACGCTACGTAGTATTTGTAGTAAGCGTTGCCGGATCGAATGGGCAAATGACGGTAAAAGCTTTCTGGACCATGAAACATGATAATATACTCCCGATTTCAGTGGGAATTTCGCTATTTCTTACCTTACGCGCTCTATGAGCACGAGAACGAACTTAACCCCTCGCTAATCAATTCTTGATGATACTAGATAGCGTTTTCCGTCGAATTAGGAAAATTCGGCTCTTTGATTCCACTCGACGAAAATAGGTTGGATGAATATTTGGACTGCATTTTGCAATTTGGAACTATAAATTCTGGCTTTTCTGGAAGAACAATTATGTGCATAGGGAAACTAATGGCACCTACGTTATTTTTAAACCGGGCTCGAATTTATAGTTCCAATTGCAAAATGTAGTCCATTTAGCCTCCGTAAACTGCTGTTCTTTTCCTCGAATACTGTTTCATTTGCCGGAAAATACGAGAATGATTAAGCTTCGACACGAGTTCTCGATCGATAGGTCGAGGGGGGGGAGGGGGTTCGAGAAGTGTACTTAAGCATTTATTCATACCGCAAGATTGAAGATTCTGAATCTATGTGCCATTAATTGTGAAGAAATTGAAACATATTAATGGGGAAAAACAACTTTTGGTGATTCTAAACATATAGACGAAAGTTTTTTTATTACCATTGAGTAATAATGAATAATATTACGTTTGCACTATTCTATTTGATCGCTGAATAAGTTCAGAAATTCGAAAAAATAAGGAAATGGGTGTTTTGCTGCATATATCTTATCTTATCGATTTACTTTTAGTATGAACCTATCTTACTATGGTCATTGGAGTTCAAGTAAGGTAACAACTTTTCTAGGATCCTAAAACTAGAACTATGCTTACAAGGCTAGAACTACGAGTGCTTTATAAGTGAGAGGGAACGCTGAAGATTCCGCAGACGATTTTGTAGTTTTGAGCTTCTGATTTTGCGAATGAAGCCTTTCCGAGCTTGAGCTGACAATAAAACAATGAAATTAGGAACAGTCGAGGAGGAGGAGTGGAAATTGGAGATTACTCGCCGAAGTAAGTTGCTCCTTTCCTTAGAGGGTTCTGAACTGGCCCAGTGGCGTGGCGTGCTTTGCGATGTATCGATTGTTCTGCCGTTTAAACCTATAGAAAAGGATCGATAAACAGGGTGTTCGCAGCGAACACCTTAGTAATCGATTCTTTACCATAGGTTTAAATGGCAGAACAATCTATACATTGCAATTCACGCCACGCCACTGAACTAACCGTATGTTGATGTGGATTTCCAGCTAGACTATATTTGGGGGGCTTAGAGGACAAGACGCATAAGTGCACACTGGAAAAAAAACACATTGGTTCTAGAGTCTAGACTCTTAAAAACATCGACAAGAAAAATTCTCTTGATTCAATCGGATTTTTTCTTAAATTAAGAACCAAGCCTCTTAATTTGAGCGGATTTCCTTTTGATTTAAGCTTAAATCTGATTGAATCAAGAGTATTTTTTCTTGTCGATGTTTTCAAGAGTCTGGACTCTAGATCCAATGTGTTTTTTTTCCAGTGCAGGTTTTGAAAATAAAAATGAGGCATTGATGATTTCGGATAAAACTAATCTTAATGCATATTCTGTGAAAAAATCGCTCCCGAATTCTGATTTTTAAGCATCAAAAAGTCAGTTTGAACTTTCTTTCCGCCATAAGGATCCATTCGATTTCGAAACTTCAAACACGGATTTCTCGAAATAGCAAAAACGGTACTTATGCGCCTTGTCTTCCAAGCCCCTCATTTTGCCTAACTCTCCCGCGAAAGCAAAATATGTTGGGATGCGCGCTCGAAACATATTTCGTGAAAAGCGTCCACGATACGACGCTGCATGTTGCACTCATCAATCTTCGATCGATAAAGGTGGGGTTCGCAGCCCACAATTCAGAGGGGCAAAATGTTCATACCTACATTTAAAAAAAAAAAAAAAAAAAAAAAAAAAAAAAAAAAAGCATTTTTCGGTAAATTTACAAAGTCGCAGTAAAAATCAGGGATAGTTGACTTCATCGGCACAACAAGTAACGTTGAATGTAAGAAAATGTGTAAAAGAAACTAGCAAAACGCCCTTAGTCAGCGTCAAATGCAACGAACACTGAACGTATTTCATTTTTACACCTGGATGCAACTATTCGGGCTTCACGGATGTCCGTGTTGCATATGCACGAATAGGAAGGCGTTTTGAGTCTCCGGGCACTCACCGCTCCACTCGTGGCGCGGCAGCGGACAGTATTGTGAGGATTCAAAGAAGTTAGTTAGTTAGTTAGTTAGTTAGTTAGTTAGTTAGTTAGTTAGTTAGTTAGTTAGTTAGTTAGTTAGTTAGTTAGTTAGTTAGTTAGTTAGTTAGTTAGTTAGTTAGTTAGTTAATATAATTTAAGACATTCAGCGTCAGGCTATTAACGTCTTTACAGAGAATTTTGAAAATGGGGGTATATACGAAAATTTAGATTTTTAAATTAAGAGAGGCAAAGAGTTTCAGTAGTTTGGTAGTGACATTGGGTTAATCGCATGTTAGTGGGTTTGTATTCCTGTTGATTGTAGGTGTCTATAGATCTGTGATTGGAGATCCCTGAGGGCAGTGCAGTCCATAATTACATGTTTGACGGTTAGAGGTGATAAATTGCAGAAGTTACAGATGAGTTTATTTTACTTACTTATACGCTTACTTATACTTATGTGCACAGGAATTTTAATGATATAGACGTTGTTCCTAAACCGAGTGAGAATTTACAGTTCTTAATTGCAAAATTTATTCCACTTATTCGTAAAATAGTCATTTTTAAACAATTTTCTTTTTTCTAAATCTCAGGGTTGACGGAAAGGTGTGTTTAGGAGACGCAAAAATAAGGCGCATTATGATTTTCAACTTTACTTAATCTTTTCTTAATTGTGTATTTTTCTAAGAAATTTCGGATACATTTTATTTTCGGTATGTTTTACTTCATTTAAACCCACGTTCAATGTTTTTTTCTTCCTGCAGGGCAGTGAATCAACTGCACTGACGAATTGCTTTTGTCCACTAATACTTGCAATGCACCCAGATATTCAGGTAAAATCTAAATCTATAATTTGGGCATGTAGTAGGAACAAGAGTTCCGTTTAAAACGAAATGACGATACAAACTATTTTTTGCTTAAACTTTGTTCACCAAAAGAAGCAAAAAATAGAGAACTTTTTTGCTGGCCGATGACGTGTGCGTATTTGATCACAAAAAATTATTGAGTTGACACAGTCTCGACGGACGAAACTCTCGAGAGGATTAATGGATGACAATGAAATAAAATAAATCGTTTGAACGTATAAATGTTGAATGTCAATGGCATCCGTGCCAATCAAGTATCTCAGTTTGTTTTATGTTTCATTCATCTGAGTTTTTTTTCATTTTCTATTTTTTTGCAATTAAAAATTTGGGTGTCATTTGGCCAAAAGCCTTGCGGTTTTCAGTCTTTTATTGCCTCAGTTTCAGTTTTTTATTTTAGTTTCATTAATATTTAAATCTGTTGTTTACTGTTATGTACTGTACTTGTTTTGTTTTTGGAGGTAATTATCTGAATCTGCATCTTTCACAATTTTTTTCATTAGAGCCGTGGGACCTTCATCCGGTGGTTCAAATTATATATTTTCTCAATGCAAATATAATATTTTGTGCAATATAGCAAGGAGATCTACACGATTTCCTCCTGGACGTCCTATTTATCGATTACCTATGTTATCACAAAGATCCAGCCAAATGTTGGCAGATTTTATTGAAATTTTGGAAATTAGTGAATATTGTTCAATATTGGTGCATTTAAGGTGACAAGCAAAGCTGTATCTGCCTGCATTTGAAGATACACCTACACACAGTTTAGATTATGTGTTCCTTAATTGGAATCTTTTAACTTTACCAAAATACACCATTTTGTTCTGAATTATTTTCTTGATGAATGCATGTAAATCTCACTGGATTTTAATGTAAAAATAACTGAAATGTCTTTTTCTGAACACAGGAAAAAGTTTTTAAGGAACAGTACGGTATTTTTGGGAATGAAAACAGACCTGTTACCTACAACTGAGGATATAGATAAGATGGAATATACTGAGGAAGTTATCAAAGGGACTCTTTGGCTGTTTCCAACACTACCTTTCATTCTCAGATCCATAGAAGAAGACATTAAAATAAGTGAGTAAAATAAGTGAACCGCATCATCGAAAGTCACGTTTTTAAGCAAGATTTTTTTTTCTAGGTTGCCTTTTAGACCAACGATTGGTCTAGTAACGATTCTCTCTAAAAATGCCATGATCGCGTAGACTCTGGCTTTTCTTGCAAGTGGAAAATTCTAATTTTTCGTGACTAGATATTGATAATTTTTCGTGACGTTAGATATTTTGTTAAAAAGTTGATTTTATTTAATCATTTCGTCGTATGAATCATGTGTTACGTAATTTTTTCTTTCTTTTTTTTCTGCTGGTTTAATGGCTTCGTATCTAGCACCTTCAGCCAACTTTAGACAATGAGTCCGTAGACATCGTGGGATCTCCATGCACCAGGCTTTTCCAATTTTCAGGGATTAGTGCCGAGGAGAATCTGTTTCAGCAGATCTACTCGTCAATTCCGTAAAAACTAGACGCCACCACCGGGATCCGAACCCGGGACCTATTGACCTAGAGTCAGACGCGCTGACCACTAGGCCAATCTCGCCGGCTACGTAAAATTTTGAGAAGAAAATATATGCCAGGGTGCTCAAATTTATAACTCACTTAGTGATCCATTATAATTCATAGCGCAGCCTGACAATGTTAGCCCAACGTACGAAGATCTAAAACTAAAATAAACTCTTTATAAATTAATAACGAATTGTTGACTTTTTTTGCATCTGATTCGATAACAAGTCAAACCTTTTCAAGGAGCGATGAAACTACCTTGAGTACACTCACAAAAACGAGAAAGGAATAATCTATAAGGCTACCGCGCTGGTAAAACCGAATGTTCGACGAAAACGATAAAAAATAGAAGATACTCAACAAAAAAAGAACCAGTTGACCCTTCTATGGTCAGGTCGTGTTTTCAATAATTGATTGGCAAAATTGACAGTTTATCGAGTAGAGTTTGGGAACTGTGTCAACCGATAGCGCGATTATGTGCGAAGTGCTTTGATGCCCTACATAATATCGGAAGTAATTTTATGAAAAGGTGATTTGCTCGTTATCATTTGGTGTTTTAACTATCACCCGTTCTATTCATCTCTCGCGTCATAATGTAGTTTCCTATTTATTCATTATATACTGAATTCGCACTTTAAAACGTATATACCAAACTTTTGAGCAGCAAATAATAAATTGGGGATCGGTTATAGTGTGTCAGAGTATAGTTTGCTTTGAATATATATAGTACTTTATTGCATCAACGCATCGCCAATCATCAATTTTAGTCTAGAACTGTGATACATTGTGTTTGATTGTGCGTTTATTCGTGTGCAATGGAAATATTAATCCCTGGACTGCTTGACGTCACTCGGGCACTGTTGAGTATCCTGTGCATCTGCTTGACCCTGATATGGGGCATCAATAAATGGAATAGCAGACATAAGGAGCTACTTGCTTCAAAGTTCCCTGGACCGACAGCTCTGCCAATCATCGGCAACGCGCTTACACTTTTGAACAAAACTCAATATGGTAAGTGACTATTTTGGAGTAAAATAGTAACATTAATCTTCAACTACTGCTCGACTGTTCAGCGTTCCAGACACGTTCAAAAGTAATTAGGGTTCTGGGAACAGGGCCCGTATCGAAGATTCGAGTTGGAACCTTATTTTTGCCGTCACGTCTCACATGCAGGTAAGTAATTTGTAGGATGAAAATTGACGAGTGCTGAAAATGAGGAAACACAGCGACTGTAAAATTAATTAAAAGAAATAAAATAATAAAAAGAAAAATCCATGATGAGCCCTTTTTCTGGAGATTGACTGGTGGTAAAGGTATTATGTAACTTAGGAAGATCTTTTTAGCCTATGCTGCCATGCTAAGGAAGAACGCCGTATGAACATTCGAGAGTTGCCAAATTTCTTTCGATAAAGCGCTCATTTCTTAAGAAAGTTATGAATATTTTCCCTTGAAATTTACAGGACTTTTTGGTGGAATTGCGAGGAAAATATTCTGAAAAATTGGATGAAAAATATTCATAAGTTTACCAGGAAATTTGGCAATGCCTGAAGGCTCATACAACGTTCTTGCCATTAGTCTCTCTCGCAGATAAGTGCTTTTACGGGTGGGTCAGAAATTTCAGTTCCTTATTGCAAAATTAGGTCCAGTTATCCTTCTGTTTTATTTGTTTCTTATAGTTTTTCTAAAGCCTAAGGTGAAGTTATGAACTTCTGGGGGTTGCATATTTGTTTTAAAATNTCCTCTAACAAAATGTTCACCTGTGCAGTGGTATCGTTTTTGAAGCGGGAAGCTCAAAATAACGCAATTTTCTTACGCAGATTGTGAATTTATGAGTGCATTTCAGACTTTGCCAATGCGCTCATCGTGATTTTTGAGGCATTATCTATAAGAAACAACTCTTCATTCTGCTCTAGCAAAAGTTTGCAACAGGCCCATTGTTTATCTTAAAACTTCTCCAACGTTTTCTTTTGTTGACAATGGTAGGCAAAAATAATTTTACTTGTAACAAGGAGGAATGTTTTTCCCTTCCGAACAAGATGTGAGTGAAAACATCGGAATTTCTTTTCTGATGATGGGTTTCATTTTTGCTCGGTGTTTTTAGCTGCCTTGCGGGGCTCAAACGTAAGAACAAAATTCAATTAGTTGTGTAATTGACCTATTCTCGAGAACCCCAATAAAAAATTGGACATCCAGCAGTGCAACATACCATTGAAAAATCATCGAAAGATTCCTTATGATCACCCAGTGCTGCAAAATTTCCCATGAAGCCGTTTTTTGATTTTTTTTCTTTAAGAAGATGTGCAAATTTTGCACCAGATACAAAGATATTGTTTCTATGGATGGTCTTTGAGGAATTATCCAGGATATTTATGCAAATTGATAGTATTTTAGGTGCCTTTAATTTTGTTAATTTTCCAGACTTGTTATGGACCATTACTGGACTTTGTGAAGAGTATAGATCACCATTTAAATTCTGGCTCGGGAGTAAACTTCTAGTTTTCATCACAAAACCAGAAGATATCCAGGTAAAGAATTTATGAAGTTGCTGATCACCTTACGATTTTGCAACACTTACAAGTTTTCTGAAAAATAAGCATAATTGCATTGCTCTAAAACACGTGTGTGATCTCAAAAATATTGCCAACCAATCATTGGTTGTTATTAAAACCATGAAGATAGAAAAAAAATCAGAGAATTATGCCATTTATTATAATTAGAACTCTAATTATATTTTCCAGTCTAAACTATTCCACTGAAAGACATTGGAGCTTCATCAAGAACAAGAACAAGATATTTGGTCCTAGTTGTAGAGCCGAAAAGGTTTAATGATGGCGGGGGAGGGGGGTGTTAAAAATAATGAAGGAGAATTGCGTAATTAACGGGGGTGAATGAGAGCAGAAGGGGATTTAGAAAATTGCTATGAGGAGCATAAGAAATATGGCCAGGGAAGACCGCGCCCTCGGGCTCTCCCTACGAGTAGAAAAAATTTACATTTTTTCTTCAAATAATAAGGCATTTTTGGGGGTTCATAAAAAGTGTGGATTTAGAAAATTGATTTTCCGAAAAATTGATGGGTGATAATAGAAAAAAGAGGTCATTTTTGTTTTCGGCAGCTGAAAGTACGTGAGAACTGGCCCATAAGACATCTGCATAAAGTCATTTTGTTGTCTTTTCGGATGGAAAACAAACGAACCAGTTTTACAAGTGCGAGTATAGGCGGATTTCGCACGCCATTTAATTGGACAAACCTTTTTATCAGATCAGACGGAACGGAGAAATATCTATGATGCAATAGTGAAAGTCTATTGAGCGAGCTGAACACGAGGATACCTTTTGTTTATAAATTGAACAATTATTGGAGGAAATATGACGAAATAATCTAGTCTGCTAAAATAAAAATACATGTGTTTAAGTGGGAAACGCCCACAAATGACGTTACTAGGCGGGAAAATTTCTCACTATTAAATCTATTTTTACCACATTTCCAATGTAAGAGAAAAAATTATAAAAAAAATACTTCAAAATGCACTCTCAGGCGAGGCAATAAAAGATGTCCGAGCAGATACTCCATTGATGCGCGAATGTTACGGAGACGGAATGAGTGTTTTGAACCTTGCCGCACTATAGCGCGTAACTATTATTGCTCTCAAGCCGTTCAAATTGCCTGAGCGAGCTTTGAAGGCGAACTGGTCGGAAATGCCGGCCATTACTGTAAGCGTTGTAATGGAGCTCAGGCACCCACCAAAAATTTGCGATCGAAGCAATATTTCATTCATGAAAAACGGGAGAAACACGATGATACGGTTTTCCCAGAGAGGAACTTCAAAGTTCAAAAAAGCTCTCTAAATTGTGGTCATAACCGAGGGGATCCCTGCACTGCCACGAGAGACCGCTTTCTTATCCCGGCGTTTAAGTCTCCAAAAATATGCATCCATTCCCAGTGGCACTCCCTTATTTCATTCAAATCTCCCTGTCGCCGTCCTTTCACTGGGCGTCTCTTTCATCTCCTCCTAGGAGGAGCCCAATCTAGCATCTCCTTTGGCAGCCTCTCTTCCGTCATCTTGTCAACATGACCGTACCAGAAAAGACCGGAAAATTATGTCATAATCCGATAATTTTTCTTTTTGTTGAATTTTGCAGATTATTTTGAACAGTTCCAAGACATTAGGCAAAGATGATATTTATAAGTTTTTTGATGCAGCGGCAGGCACCGGTCTGGTTACAGCACCACGTACGTAAATACAGGCTCAGCGAAATTATTATATCATACATAAAAGAGCTCATCTGCAATTTGATGTGCCTGATCGGCATTTGGTTTTGACGAAGCTTTCTTTTAAACATAGGATGCGCAGTATCGAAAAAGTCATGTTACACCCTTGCTCGTACACCACTCTTTGAACCACGTAAAATCTCTTTTTCAAAAATTTGAAGTAAGTCGATTTGATGGTCAAGAAGGTTTGAGCTTGATTGACGGAGTAATTTTGCAACTGCGTATTTCAGTTTGCGGCGTTGCAGCCTTCCTATCCTGGTACATTTTTTAAATGGAAAACTACTCTACGAAAATTCTTAAAAACTGCCTTGTTTAATCTTTTCTGTATACGAAGCAAATTCTGCAAAAACTTCAAGGAATGTTGTAGATTTGTTATCTTTTACAAAAAAAAAAAAAAAAAATAGAAGCCGAGATTTTCAAACACTGCAAACGAGATACGTGGTTGCGGACTAACATCGTCAAATGCTGTTTACCTTCTCTTCAATATTTTCTATATGAGATGATGCTTACAATACAAAAGTTGCAAATGGACTTCTGAGTCAAATCTTACCGTTCGCAATCAACATCGATTGAATTCGGTTTTGTCGGACAAGAAAAGGAGATCTATAAGTACTCTTTTAATAAACTGCGAAGAATACCTATATTCTGAGAAACAAGCCTGAATCAGCCTGCAGCTAACAAGCCTCGTTCCTACACTAAAGCTGCAGTAATATATTAAGTAAAACAAGGTAAGGAAGGAACTCTTTGGCTCTGAAGTGATGTAAGCTTCAATTGATAATCAATGCACTAATAAATCGTCAACTTTCTGCCAAAGTATCACAAGATCCATGCGACTTTCAAAAGTTCCCGCCGCCATTTTATTTTTTTTTACAGAGAATATGTTCGACAAAGCTGTCCAAAAATTTCACTGAATTTTCTTAGTGCTGCTAATTAATTCAGTGAAATTTTCAAACAGATTCAACAATTTCTCTATAGGAAAATGAAATGGCATGACATTTTGAAACATCGCATGGCGCTTGCGATACTTTGGCCGGAAAGTAACGAAATAAACTTTTGCTAACATTTTGGTCCAGAAATGGACACCTCAGCATTATATATCAGTGTTACTTAATAGATGATAAATCGTTAGGTAATCATTTGATAAAAGTTATATAATGAATTAGTAACAATGAGGTAACCCTATAGTAACGATTACTTGAAATCATCCTCAAAAGACTGACTGTTTTACTTAACCATTAATAAAAGGTTACTTAAGCGTGAAGTAAACGTGAATTCATCATTACTTTAAGCTTACTTTAAGCTTACTTCACGTTTACTTTTCTCTTACTTAATCTTGATATCCAAATTCTACATGGGAAGGAGTGCAGTATCAAAAAATGTATTGGGAGCCAATCGAAATTACTCTACATCGTCTTTTTGTTCTCTGATTTCAGTCGAAAAATGGAAGAAAACTCGAAAAGTACTTACGCCATCTTTTGCTCCGAAAAAACTCACAAGGTTTGTGCCTGTAATGAGCGCAAGAGCAACGATCATTGTACAAAAGATGCAGCAGCATTGTGGTAGTGGTGTCGAAATAGATTTTTATCCGCACTTCTTCACGGCTTCATTTGACACACTCTGTGGTGAGCTACTAATTTTAAGCAAGTAATCACCTCTATTAAAAGCGTTTGCCATTGAAAAGTAACGAAAGAAGTTATGAGGTCTGAATCAATAATTTATCTAGCCGCCTAGGCAGCCTAATTTGTTTTTTTAATTGTATGTTAAATGGGATGCAGACCCATAATTTTGTATCGTGCAATTAATTACGCCGGTGAGATATGTTTTGGGGCCCTAGTGACCCTGGTGTATATATTTTTATAATTATAAAAATAAAAGGTTGGCGTTATTCGGCGGTAGGGTGCGTATCCGTGCGTTATAAAGTTTTATCCAACGGTACCGTACCGCCGCACGCCGAATAGGTAACGTTTTATTCGACGGTACCGTCCTGCCAAACTAACCACTTCGGAACTAAAAAAATAAAAAATAAAATATTCCAATATGCCTTGACAGAGATCCTCGTTGATCTGATAGGAAATTTTTCGTGGTATATTTCGTGGTTGAAAAAAAGTGCACCTATAATCTTTGGTCCCACCGTAATCCAATCCGAAGAACTTGAGTTTGTTAGAATTTTTCATGATGAGCTTTGAAGTGTCCTGCTGATTGGTCATTGCCGGCTCTCTCAAAACAAGAATAGAGGCAAAAAAAGCTTCCTCAGGGCCTAGAAACGGAAAAAGAGGTTTAATATCTCAAAAACATGCATGCTATGGAAACATGTGATTTAAATCAAAATTCCAAAACATTCAATCGCATGGAAATAATTGTTACGTTTCATTTTCAGAAGCATCTTTTGGGGTTCAAGTTGACTCTCAGCTAGGCCGAAGTCGGGATTGGGCACAAGTTATGTTTCGGTAAGAATCAGTCGTCTATTTTCCGAAAGTAAAATACACTATCTTATTTTAAGAATATAATACATAGGACTAATCATTTTGGTTCAAAATCAACTTGCCTCTGAATCCAAAAATAGCTCAGATGTTTTTTCTCCGCCAACCTATTATTTATTTATTTACTCCTTTTTTGTGTGAAATTCAATTTTAAAACGATACGCATTTTTCAAGGAGAGCAAAGATCCTTTTCGAAAAACTCAATTTCGCGAAATACCTAATAGGTCGATGATGAAAAACGTCTGAGACGCTCTATTCGAATTCTACAGCACGAAATCCGGTTACCAATAAAGGAAGGTTTACTCGAATTTTTTAAGGAAAATCACACTCAGCACTAAAAAACATATGGAAACCATTCAATAGTTCAGAAAATAGAAATTGCCCTAAATTTGCAGGCCTGAGTTATGAATAGTTACCGGTGTAAACATTAGCCGTGAGTCCCATTTCCTGCTTTCTATAGACAGCAGGTATATGATACTAGGGGGCCCTGTCCCCTAACCGCTACGCGGGCCAACCCCCGGGAGGGCGCCTCGCGCCCTCAGGCCAGCTTTGCGGGCCCTATACGCATATGTATAGGCAAAAATGTTCTTCCATTTTAATACACCGTTTTGTGTTCGAGCTGCATCGATTTCAAAATTTTTGACATAACACTCAGACTTGTAAATGATGAGGAATAGCTGGATGTACATAATTTCACAGTCCACTTACTGGAGAAATTTCCATTTAGTATGTTATTTTTAAATACTTAATTTAAAAAAAAAAATCGGATTTCGAACGTTAAGAGTTAATAATATTTGGTCCGTCCCGACGCGACGCAGCGCCTGCCTTCTCACTTTGGATCTGCTGTTTATCTACTGTAAATATTAATAGAAATCTAGCAATCAAGTAAATTGACCAATGTCACAAATCGAAGCCGGAAGAATGAGGAAAAATTGAGTAAAAACCTTATACCTTGGACGTTGAACCTTGAACCCTGAGCGATGCACCGTTCCTCAACTCTTCGAATGAGGAGCCCTTCACGAGCTTTTCCATTGTTTTATTGTTTATTCGAGTCACTCAGGTAGAATCCCACACCTTGACGTTTCTAGCGGAAACGACATATCTCTCGCGCTATTAACATTGGACTTAAGTGACATGAGCTTTAAAAACTCTACAACATTAAAAGTTCGGGGTTTCATAATTTTTTGCACATCTGCATCTACCACAGATGACATACATGTAAGGATCATCCTTATCGGTCCGGCAGTTCGTCAGAAATAGTGCTTCCAAGATTTTGCTTGTAGCTGTATAATATAGATATAATATAGATGTACATGGAGGTAGAATCCCCTAATATATAAATTCAATATGTTTAACTTTCGAGGACAAATGATCGGTTTCTTTTCCGGAATTTCCAGAGAAACTGCAATTTTTATGAACCAATCATTGTTTGCCCCACGGCTGCTGTAAACATTTATTTCTATATGATTAATTGGTCCTTTCAAATTAACCTAGAGTTGCGCCACTTTTAATGGAACGACTTCTTGCACCATGGTTGCATATGGACTACATTTATGAAAAAACAAGTGCTGCAAAGAAGATGAAAAAGGACTGTGACGATTTTCGAGAATTCAGCAAGAACGCAAGTATTCAATTATACACTTTATGAACTTAGCATTAAAATTGTATATTTTAATAACCTTCATTTTTCTTAGAATCATTTATTTCATGACATAATTTTTATCTGGTGCTAATTTTTAATTTAGTTGAATTTGGTTAAGTTACTTTAAAAAACAACAACAACATGTTGCAATCGAAATGCCATGTGTTTCGAGGTCAGGGCCGGATGTAGGGGGTGGCCACATGGGTCGTGGCCCATGGCGTTTTGCAATTTTTTAAACGTAAATTGGATTCAAGAAAATATTACTAACGAGAATAGGCGACAAAATTTCTCATTTCCAGAGAGTATAGTAAGTTCTAATTTTGTCGTCTTTCGGTGATGCAAGAGGCAGCACCTTTAATTAGTCGAGTTGAGAGAGAAACCAAACACGCAATTTGGCCTGGAACGGTGCGGCGCAGAGGGCAATGATGACGAGGACTTGAGATGAAAAGGAGAAGCCCTCGGCGCGGCGTAGCGGTCGGCATGTAACACATATTAGCGCCTACAAGACTGCATGAATACTTCATGCATTGCGTCAAACTTAGTACGTCAGCAGTGGTCGACGTGAAACGCACAGCGCCTACAAGACTGCATGAATACTTCATGCATCGCGTTAAACACGACGCGGTCTGCAGCGGTCAACGTGAAACGCACAGCGCCTACAAGACTGCATGAATACTTCACGCATTGCATCCAACACAGTGCGGTCAGCGCGGCGCGGTGGCAGAAGTTAAACTTATAAAACCATATTTATGTTTGTTCTTTCATAATTTTTTGGTTCATTTCTTATAGGCCTTGTCCACATACAGATAGGTTTATGGAACTTAACTTTCGCGCAAAGTTCCGTGAACTTTTGCTAGTAGTGTTGACAGGGCTTTCGCAAAAAAATGTTTCCAACAAAAGTAAACGCGTCTTATGCACCCCTTTCCCTCCGGATCGTCCACTTGATGGTTTTTATTGATGTTTCAAAACGAATGAGAAGGGGCGACAAAATACAGGCGGCCCATGGGCGGCCCATAGTAGGTAAATCCGGCCCTGCAGGTATGACATTACCATGATTGTACACTTATTTCAATATGTATTTGGAACTGTAATTTTGAATGAATGAAATAGTACTTGGACGGTTGTTTACAAAATCTCTGCTGCCCTGTTCCTGTCATTAGGACGGTTGCGAATTTTTCCCTAGTGCTTAGAACATTAGTTAAACATTTTAAGTCAAAAATTAAATAAAAATTATGGTACACAAATAGTTTCTTTTGCTCAGACAAATAAAGCTTTGTCATTTTCTTTGATACATAAGACAAAAACAAAACATATATTACGTACAATCAGAATGAATACTTGCCTTTATGATGGGAGAAAATCTTTAGATCAGAGTTTCAAGGGTTTTTATTCAAAGCGTGAAATAAATAAAAAAAAAAAAAATCGCATGTACATCACACCCACCCCCGGGGCACATATCTTTTACTATATATTGTTCCTCTGCTCACTTGTTTTCGTATCTTGACCCCATTACAGGTAATTAATGAGAGGAGAAAACATTTTTCAAAAAACTGCGGCAACAATAATGATGATATGAATGGAGATATTGATTGTCCGGAGTATTTACTAGACGCCATCCACAATTCTCAAGAAGATAGCAGCTACACTTATTCTGACATAGATAAGATAGATTTTTTTTTTTTTTTTTTTTTTAT